TAAACTCCCCTTCGCGTTGCTTTGTACACAGATATAGCAATACGTTCAATTCGTCTTATGATCACTTACAAATGACAAAATCCGTTTTATTAGAAGTTATGTTAGTTAAGTTATCTTGTTGTTAAGTTGTTAAGTTATGTTAGAAGTAATTAGGTTGTTGTGCGTTACAGTAGTCATACACAGTAGTATATTTATATAAATATATATATATATATATATAAACGTATTACATACATTTCGTTCATATATAATCATATATAAATCGTTCAGATGTAATACGTTTCGTAAAAAAATGTTATTAGCTGCGACATACAAAAAATATAAATTGCTTTTAAATACATGGATTTGAAGATCACGTATATATTGTAAATTATTTTGTTATTTTTTTATCGAATGTACATAACTGTATGTTGTAATGTGATAATAGTGATTTTATCTTAGTAATTAAATTTTCTTTGAAACCGTATAATTTTTATATTTTTTATTATTATAAAAAAAACAAAGCTAGAAAAAATAATAATACATAAATAAAGAAAAAATATATAAATAAAGAAATCTGTATATAAATATAGGTCTGCAGTGTATCTACGAAAATCTTAGCATGTTGTGTGTATGTCATTGTAATTGTCCCCAACTTTTTTTTTTAAATTATATATTAATCAGCTAGTAGTACATAATTTTGCTGTATATAACAGAAAGGTAGCATCCTCTATAAGATACTAGTTATATCATTTCAAAAAAATAATAATAAGTTAGGTATATTATTTGAAAGAGGGATTATTTTTTCTTCGACGACTAACTTTGGTCACAGTTATGACTTCTATACTGCATAAGCTTTTCAAATCATAAATTTCCATTCCATTAAGGACAATACTACATAAATTTCTAAATATTAAAGTGTACAGCTGCATAATGTAACGTAACGTCGCGTCGCGTTGTTCGGTCGGTATGATAGCTTTTGTGTTTTTTTTTTCGACTAGTTGACTAAACTTTGTACACCAAATGTTTCTGAATGTGAAGCTGTTTTTATGTTATTTCACATGCAGTGCTTGAGTGTAACTTTGTACTTGTAATTTCAATAGTAGACAGTCCGTCTGCATATATTTTATTTAAAATTCTTAAAAAGATTTTAACTTTGACTCTATAAAACTGAACTTCATTGCTTTGTTACTTGAAATTTGTAATCCCCTTCCGATCAAAAATACGTTTTTTATCAGTAAACCAAATTTTTTGAATTTGAAAAGGCATATTATGTAAAGAATGTAAATACTGAAACCTGTAAAGAAATTTAATATCTAAAACTTTACAGTTCACAAGAAACATAGTTACTACGAGTAAACATTTTATGTATTCGATTACAATAAACTAATCTTTTTTTTTAAATATAACTCCCGCACTAGAAATATATCCTGTGTCGCGGAGGACTAGGCGACTAGGACCTAGGATTTTAAGACATTTTATTCGAATTATTTACTACTACTTTTATTTTTAGGTATAAAAATAAAAGTTAAAAATATTGTCAACCAAAATAGAATTTGATTCATTTGGAAATTGGATATCAACCCTTATCATAGTAAGTTATAGTAAGAAATCTTTACCTTAATGCGAAGGTCCCGCACGTGACCTTGATTTATACGTTCCGCGCGTAGGCAATGCGGTTCAATAGGATTGATTAATGGATTGCAATTCTTCATGATATGACAAAAGAAACCTTATATTACTTTATAGGATACGGGTTTTCTTTTAAAAGTATTGCCTTTATTTATCATATATTCGGATAATTTACCGAGGAAAGTATGAGTAAAAGAGGTTCATTTATTTTTATGCCTTAACGATATAATATTAATGAAACCCTAATTTAATGTTTATGCTTAATTTGGGACATACTACATATAAATAATTATCTATATATTTTACTGACAGGTTAGTTTCCGTCCTATGCTATATGTACGTTTTAATGAATTGCTGCTTAACTACAATGCACTTTTTTTTTGAACCGACTATAACTTTCACTAAATTGTAGTACATTAAAACGATTTTGTGTTACAATTGATTTTGTCAATTATATTACGTAATAGTGGTGCAGGTCTTTCGCGTACTGGATCACGTAGCAAGTTACACAACGCTAACGTCAAGTGGTGTTTTTCAATCGGTTTTTGATGATTCATAGCAACGATTTATTGTGGTCGATCAGCGCGGGACGTGTCTGCAGCCTCCGTGTAATTGAGATCGATACAGTAACTTTCATCATCGGGCACATACCGACGTAACACTCACTATTGAATGTTAAAATTAAAGTAATTACCAACCTCACTGCACCACTTCACTTTTACACATCCGCTAACAATTCATTGGATCCTGCATTGTCGTGTGTAGAAGAAAAACAAATAAGTTTTACTTTCCCCTTTACTTTGCTCACATTCGCTAATATCGAGCCTACACATTAGTTGACTCATGTGGACTTGATTTCGGTTTCACTGTTCCTCCTAAGCTTGACTGACATGTTAAATTCACTTAACTCGTGTACAAAACAATTAACTACTGACACTACTTACATTTTCATTGGGCGACGGCCGCTATAAGGCGAATCATTCATCAAAAGGAGAGCTCAAGGAAAGTGAAGTGAATTGTAAACATTTAAAAAAACACGTCGAGTACAAAAACTTCACTGATTACATTAAAGTTCTTATAGTTTTTAGACAATGAGTCCTCGATAATGTAATGAGGTTTGTCAATCGTTATTATTGAGTTTCTAAGAACTAGATGTGTTATTATTTTGTTTCTAACTTTACATATCTAATGACATTATAATCGGTACAGTTATTTTCAGCTGCAGGCAGTAAGTGTAGGTAAACAAGAAAATAGAGATCGCTGACCTAGTTGCTTGTTGGTCTTCTAAATTCGTGAGCCAAAAATAAATAATAAGGGCCAAGTTATGTGGTTAAAGTAACCTTGAATTATAGGTATTTGGAACACGCATGGTAAAAGTTTTTATGCAAGGACAGTTTTGCTGGCATTATAGTAATTACTTAACATGATTAACAAAAGTGTGGCTCGGTCATTAATAAAACCAATAAAACTAGTGTGAGAACGCGTGGCTGTGACAATGATGCGAAAGCGCCCACGATCACGAGACATCGCCTCTTGTCGCCTTGTCATGCGACCTACTTATTAGTGCATTTATCAAAGCAAACTCGTATATGAACACTTTGGATGCTCCTGATACCTACATTGATTGTATTGTTAAAATAAACATTGAGGAAGCTGTAATAATGCCGATATTAGATGGTACTAATCGTGACAGGAGATAGTAAATTTATCTAGAAAATTATTAGACACAAAGAGTGGCATTAATTTGGGTACCAACGCTATTTTTAACAGTCAAATCATGTTATACCTATAACTTATTTATTTTTTACCGTATTTCCGGACCGATACGACCTTAAAACTTTCAAGAAAAGAGCGTACTCCTACCTAAAAGGCCGGCAACGCGTTTGTGACTCCTGAGTTGCAGACGTTCATGGGCGGCGATGGTCACTTTTCATCAGGTGACCCGTCTGCTCGTCTGCCCCTCTAACATAAAAAAAATATAAGTAAATAAAAATTTTAATTCCATGAACATATTTTTTAGTAGTACTTTCAATTTTGTTTATTTGTGTGTAACAATTAATTTGGAGTAACACCAAATAAATAAGCCTTTATTTTTTTATTAGATATAATGTAACAATGTGATAGCGCTTACACAGTCACTGTGATTTTCGGTGCTTAGGTACTTTGTGATTTCGTTGATTTTTTTTTGTTTGTCTGTTCTTTCTTGTTTATTTTTTTTCGTTTTCCTAACTTTTGTTAGTTTGTAACTAGAAGTGGAAACTGGTAATTGGCTCTCAGATGATTAATTGTGTCATTCTTACTGATGTTTCTAAGCTTTCCAAGTATGAATTAAATAAAGAAATAGGTATTTGTAGTATCGTAGTAATATGTAAAAATACAATGTTAAGTTAGCACTCATACATCTATGGTTTAGACAATGTTTGTATTAGATTACCCTTTCTGTATGTATTCAGTGCAACCCCTACGTCCCTTTTCTATTCATTAGAGAGATATAATGCTTTTACCTTCAGTTCTGCCGAGGTAATCTCTATCTGCGCTTTCATCTGATTGAATAAATACAGAAGGAGCAATAAAGATGCCCGGATTCACCGTAGCTGTGTACACTGGCTTGTCAATTAAAATTTATTATACGACTTTCGTACCTAACTGTCAAGAAAGATATTCATTATTACGTCATTGAAATATTAAGATTTTACTAAATATTACAAGTAATTTCGAAGCAATTTATTATTCGCATTCTAACTTTATAACTTTGACAGAAATTTTCTTTAATACTACCAATAAGGTTATTTGGTATTGATACGTAATACTTAAGTTCTTTGGCACTGCTGCCAGTTCTCTGCGTCTCACTGTGATAAAACATGGCTCAGGTCAACGATTCCATTAACCGGTCTCTGTATACTCAGCGTACAAAGAAAAAACGATTCAAGAAAATTAGGACGATATGAAACATTGTAACTTTGAGGCTAATGCTCTGCACCAAAAATGTCCCGGTTCCTACAATTTTACGACATTTCATTAGCCTTTCAGACAGTTGTCCTTTTACCTAAAGGACAACTGTCTGAAAGACATATTGCGTGACCCAATTGATATCAAGTGCAAAGTGCAGAGATGCAGCTTCTTAACTATTTTGGTTAGGAACGGCAGTAATCGGGCGTCAAGCAAAAATGTTTAAATGTCTAATGGCCACTATAAAACAGTTTTTATTTGTAGAGAAAGGATGGTAAAATACATTTGTAAAAGTTTTACTTCTTAGTGTGAAAAGTGCTAAATATATTTCTTTTAGACTTTGTTATGATCAATTAGTTAAATTAAGTGCGTCTGTTTTCACCTCACCTCATTCGTAACTATATAAGTATAGGGGTACAGATAATAGACAATATATAACAATGAGAGCTGCCGAACAGAAGCCATTTTTTGGCAAACGCAAACATAATCAATTACTAAAGGTACATTGTTCGATCATTACAGCGAAGTGTTAAAGAAACGTTACATTGCATGAATCATGAACTCAAAAATATATATATTTCGTTTAACTTTTTCAACCTGACTTAAAATCTTTAGGATAAATCTAGGACCGGTAATTTTAAAATTACTTCTTTTAACTTATTCTTTCTATATACAATAATTTATTTTTTATATAAACTTCTTCTAATTTGTTTCTCTGACTTCAAGTCCACAAATAGCATCTAAGCATTTGCCAAAAAATACATACCTCGTACAACATTGACATGTTTTGGCTACATAACATTCAACCTTGTAATGTCAATCGTTCGTACATTTGCCGATTTTATTATTAAATATCTTTAATAAAATATACAAAAAATTTTGCCTTTAATGTTTGGCCTACACAAAATACCTAAGGTTATTAAAAGTGGCGAGAGCTAAGAAATTATTTTGTGACCAAAGATAAGATTTCAGCTTATATTTCTCTACTGGCTTGTCGGTCAATTAGGAGCATAGATTTTTTAATTTTTTGACATTCATAGCCTTAGGTCCAATTATCTTTAAAGGCCATGTTATGGGACAGATAAGACTTTTATGTCGACTCTGAAACACTTACACGACAACAATAAAACTTCTGATTAGATTTGCTATTAAATTAGTTTACTATCGGGTACAGATACGTGGACATATAAACCAATCTCATATTTTCATTTGAATATATGTTTTGTACTAGACGAGACAAATCCACTTACAAGCACACCAAATGATAAAATTAACTAATTAGTATCCACACGAACCGTTTTGATCCTGTTTGATTTGTCATGGTCAAACCTCGAATTGTCCAATTTAACTCCATACATGACAATTTATTTTAAAATCAAGTTAAATTGCACTTATAATTGTGTCGTTTGAACGGATTTTAGACGGCAAAAGCCTTAAACAATTTTCAAGACAAGCTTCAGTTCAGTCCTGCTGCTGTAAAAAAGTACCTCGATAGCAGGTCGGACAATGTGTGTTTTCAAATACCTATTACATTGAATATATGTAATTAGGCCATTTAAATTTTTATTTTAGTTAATTTATAAGGTGTTTAGATGTTAAGTTAGTAAAGAGTTTTGATTCCATGTGAAAAGTTGTAATTGGCTAACACTATTTTAAATTTAGCATACTGTATTTAAATGCTGCAAGTTTTCCAAACATATTAAACAAATATAAATAAATATAGAGTCGTTTCTTAGTTAATAATTGAGACTCGTTCCATCAGTGTGCCGGGCCTTATATTCAGAATCATTGAAACGCATTGATCACATTCGCCCGTTCTAGCCCTGTCCAAATCCACAAATTCAACAGTTCCGGCTCAGCTAAGAAATCGATGCGAATGTCTAGACTACTGCAGTACAATAGACGACAATAAGCACGCGCTAGAAAGTGTTTATACAGTAACTTGTAAAATACGATAATAGGATAATGAACAGATCACTGTCAGTATCCCAATAAATCAGGTTGTGAATAGAGTAACAAAAAAAGATGCTATTAAAAAAGTATTTAGGTAAATTCTAAGAAAATCTTAAAAGAAATGCAACAACGTTTTAAGCAGGGAATTTCAATTTAGTCCTTAAAATTGATTGATGTTTATATCTATATACTGTATATACACATTCATTTTTAGGGTTCCGTACCTCAAAAGGAAAGAAACGGAACCCTTAAAGGATCACTTCGTTGTTGGTCTGTCTGTCAAGACAATTTATCTCGGGGACGCGTTGCAATCGAGTTACAATTAGAACCATTTGCTTAGGTTTAAGGTCCCTTGAAGCTGTAAAATAATAAAACTCCTAAGTTACGGTTACGGATAAGTTTTAAGTACGCAATCAATCATCGAGATAAAATTTCTCTTATTAAACTCAAAAATATAAGCAATTATAGGTTTTAGAAACTGGATTTTGGACAACTGAACTATTTATAATGTACAACTAAAAATGTGTACGGAACCCTCGGTGGGCGATTTCGACTCGCACTTGTCCGGATTTTTTTTTTAACTTTTAATGGGTTCTTGGTCCACATTGCGTTATGTTTAAAAGACAACTCCCGTACTAGGAATATATTCTCTCTTTATAAATTGATTTACTTATTTTTCGATCAATATTTTGTTTACACATACACAATATTTTCTCAAATGACCAAGGTACTATGACCTTAGTTGCCTATAATTTTAGTTAAACACACTTTACGTACAACTTAACGAGCTTTGACAATTCAATGGTGTAACTATACAAGGCCGTGAAGGTACCACACCTTACCAACAAAAAACATTCTGTTCTTGTGTGCTATGTCATTAATACAACAAACATCTTTACACTACTATGTATGGGCTTACTAAGTTATTGTTACTAAGTATTCATAAATACTAAGTGACTCCAAATAGGCATAATTCTATTTTATTCTTTTAAATAGTTAAAAAATTACGAACTAAATTGTACTGGCTCTTTTTATGCCTGGTTTTTAGAACACATCGATATAGAAGCATGCATCAGTGTGGCTGTGCGTTGATTTGAAATATTGCTCTGCTAAACATCTAAGAACCCTGCAAATATATAGAATTAGAATCGTAAAGAAAATCAATAGTAGATAAATGTGTAGTTCCTAAGGAATAGACTCACAATTAGACTATTATATAGTAGTGTCTAATTAAAGCAGTTACCGCTGGTGTCAAGTAGACAGAGCTTGTAGAGCCACCCGACCGGGAAACTAAACCTCGTTCTATCTAGTCTGAGTGTAATAAATAATATGTCTATGTCTCTGATAAAATTACGTATATATACATATCTATACATAAAACGAAAATCTAGGTTTAAAAATACAGAACTACCTACGTATATTTACAATTTATTTCCAGGTAAGTAGGTTTAAAGTTCTTAAAAATAGTATAATATATTCTAAAATTATCATTATCTTGAATTCTAAATTACGTTATACGAAATGATGAACGGCTAACATTATGTCACCGTAAATTATAACGTCATTGAAGAAGACTGTGATGATGCTGTGACAATTTTTTTCTAATAATAAGTTTTTTAACTTCTTTTGATAGAAATATGATTTAATTTATACCATATACCTACTAGCTTTTGCCCACGACTTCGTCCGCGTGGTGGTCATTAGTTTTGAAATCTATAATAGGTATAAAAAGAACTTACGATATGGTGATAACTTTTAGAGCTGCTTGTAGAGGTCAAAGCATATCTTTAAATTTTGCGTTTCACGCACAAGAATATTTCCAGAACCCAGTAAATTACAAAAAAAAAACATTAAATTAGCGCATATAAACCTTTCCCTTGAATCATTCTGTCCATTGATGAAAACCGCATTAAAATCCGTTGCGTAGTTTGAAAGATCTAAGCTACAGACGGGCGGGAATCGACTGTTATATACTATGTTTTTTTTTGGTATTATATATGGAGACAACCAAGCAAGCGGGTCACCTGATGGTAAGTGACTACCGCCGGCAATGGATACCTGCAACTTAAGAGCCACAGAGTGTGTTGCCACCCTTTATACTTCCCCCTGGTGAAAAGCAATGAGAAAATTGCTGAACATCGGTTTTCTGTGCGGCCATTGAATTATTCCAGTAGAGCCGGCACATCGGTGTCGAATAAAGCTGGTTAAATAAATTAAAGGAATGGTTCCCCACGATATAAAGCTGTTATTTTCCCCGAGATAGAGCCTGGCTAGGCGCGGAGTCTATCCGGGTAGGACCTGAAATAACATGGTCCGGGTCCTCCCCAGATCAGGGCGCCTGAGAGCGGCTGTTGGGGTAGGTTTTAGTAGAAACACCACATACTCCTGGCTCCTGTCTCTCGGAGGAGCTGGAGATCCGAAGGGATTTTCCACTCCGTCAACAAAAGAAAAGGCAGTGAATATATGTAGATAAAACTCTTCACGAGTTTGCTGTTAGTACCTATTGCGCCTTTCATTTATACGAAGCTGCATACATAAACTTCTACCAAAAAAAGTTATAATTCTTGAGATTTCGTCAAACTGAGTTGTTTATTTTGTTTTAGGTGTCTTAATTATGATTATGACATTAATTTAACACAAATAAATGAAATTTGTAGTTTTTCTTTTTTGTTGAACAATTTACTGCCATCGAGAGCCTTATTAGAAATATTAAACATGAATACAGACACTTGCTAGAGAAAAGCAGACTTATTGTGCTGTTATCAGATGTGTCAGTGTAAGTGCCATGAAATTCTTTCAGAATTTACCATAAATTATAACACCTACCTTTTACATAGCTTTGTACTAGAAATGATTTATAGTGTACACTAAAAACAATACTTATTGATAACAGATACTCTTAACTGTTAACTTCTAGCAGGCAACTCTTCAAAAGTTAAAGAAGCTACTGAATGAGAGATTGGCATCACCATCAGTTGCTAATAAAATGAAACCATGCGGTTTAACCTAAGCATTTATAATTAGTTCCTTAAAGTATTAACACGATTTCCTTTTATATAAAACGAAATAATGAGTGAGGAAGCGAGGTTTGATGGAAAATCTAATACTGGTCAATAGAATAAGTTATACTCGTGGCTCGAGCGACGCAGGTATCCATTACGTAGAACCAATGCGACGAATCTTAATACACATACATATGTAGGTAATGCGATATTCTTCGTGATTACATACTCTAAGGATATATTGAGCTTATTTTCTATAAACACTCGTGGTATCCGGGCAACTAGAGGGAAGAGGTTAAGCGTGCTTACATTTGAAATTCCATTTTAAAAAAATGGACCTAATTTTGGAGATTCTGATCGTAATTTACGCTTTCTTCTTTATGAAACTTCATAAAATCTGATGAATATCAACCAACCGAAATTGAAATTGAATCGAATTCCTTATTGTAATTTTTGTATCTTTAGAATTTGTGAACAGTACATTACTATATTGTTTTTATATAGGTTCATAGTACGTCTTTATAACGCAATCTAACATTTGCAAAGTGTGACTAATAATTAGCAGTAAAATAAACTATTTAAGAATGTCGACAAATAATATGACAGAGACTGCTTAAAAATTATATTATTAGTGCCATACCATTTATAAAAGGGCATAATTCCAAGGATCTGCTTTATTTCTCACGCTTCACTTCTGATTAGCATCTACGATGTTCTTTGACGTCTATAGCGCTTGTACTAGAGATTTAGAAAGCACGTTGTAGTAACCAAGGAATGCTAAGGGTACATAAAAGGACATATTATTATGCAGCGTGTATGCAAATATTCACAATGATCACTAGTTAATAGGATAGCGAAAAACAAAAAAAATACTTTCGCTCAATGTTAGTTAGGATACTCTCTTTACATTGAGATCTATTTCCCTGAGACCAATTTTATGTTTTGATGTAACACGAGAACTATTGGGACTACTGCTAAATATTGACTTTAAACTGAGTTAGATAATACTCGTAGTAGGTATAGTCAAAACTGGACGTAGCAAAGGTCGTCATTTCAGTCAATTTACTTGAGACCCATTGACTTTCAAAGTAGTAAAGAGCCTTCATAGAGCCTCGTAGCCAGACGCTACGGTAATAATTCGACGATCTACTTTATAACACTATACAGACATTCAGTTACAAGCCCGTTCAGAGCAGTGAAAAAGGTTATAGGCCGCAAAGAATGAAAATTTCCTAGACGGCATCTCCGGCTTGGTCAATAATTGTCGAAAGATATACATAGGTGTTAAAAAAACTTTTTGTTTAAAGGATTTACTGCCACTGCATGGCTGGTGGACGAACACGGATGGTTTACAAGACAGTTCAGATATCCAGGTCGTATACTTGCCAGCATTACTACCCAGAGAGGCACAACTCGAAGCAGATAAACCCAACGATGACATCCCACTACCTTACAGCTTTGACGCCTTCGGACGGTACGTAAACATTGTGCTGAGAAACTGGTCCTATTAAATACTCAATCTGCTCACGTACGCAGCATATTGGACCTGTTATTATATTACATAAAAATTTGGGTCATAGAAATCATTTGAAGTTATGGTATTGCTCAAAACTCCGATTGCGCAATATGGGCGGGGCTTTGTGCAATTGATACAATGCTTATTCGTTTTTATAAACATATCATTACGCTGGAATCAGGATGTTCTACTTCTTAATTTAATTAAGATTACTTAATAGAATGGGTTATGTCATCAAATTACTTATTTCTAGAAATTTTGAGCTGCAGTTAGTACCAAATCGACGTTTGGTGTCTCCAGAGTTTCGAGTTTGGTCAGATCTTGGCCAAGAGTCAACTCTGTCGTCTATTGATGCATCTTGTCACTTTCTGCACAATGGATCTGGATCAAATACAGTGGCAGCCTTCTCAGCTTGTAGAGATCATGCACTTGTAAGTTTTTGGATAATAAACTTTATCTAATAGGGATTTGTACTCGTCAAGCATAACTAAACCATTTTTTTATTAACATAACGATCATCGTCCATACTGAAATGTGATAGTTATATATCTATAACTATCACATTTCAGTTTGGACTTCAGTATGATATCTGATATGTTTTTAACAGATACTTTTATTTTTATGTAACACGATTTATGTCTACTTTTAAGTACTTTTCTAGTACACACGTATAACACACATGTTAAAACATTAGCCAAACACATAGTTGACCACTACTTTAAATAGCGTACTTTTTTCACAATACTTACAGAACTTTATAAAAGCTTAGTGAAAAATCATCTTTAAATTTAACTTTAATAATGATATCCTTTTACGATAAATAGAGTGCACAGATTCTGCAACAGCAACACTTTTAGAGTCACATAACACACATCAACAGCCTTTAATAGTCCACTGCTGGACATAGGCCTCTCCTTCAAAACGTGTTTTTAAAGTACGTAGTAAGTAACACTTCAGAAAAATCCACTAACAAGAAATGTTCATTTGTATGTGTAAATCGTACTGTTTCCAGCATGGGCTAATTGTTGTTGACAATTCCACCTACGAAGTGCGACCTCTCGCTTTGGGCGCCGGACGTGCCGAAACGGGGAATGGACGAACAGCGCACGTAATCCGTCGCGCACCACCCCCTACTGCACCTGGCGATGACGCTCGACCACTACGACCACGCGTTCGTAGACCGCGCGGGCAACCACCGCATGTAAAGCCTGGACCTGCCAGCTACACTATTGAGATAGCACTTTTCTTAGACGAAGCCGCCTACAAAATTTTCTACCCGTTTTTGAACTACAGTGAAGCTGATTTACGGGACATGCTACTGGCCTACATAAATGGTGTAAGTGTTTCTACAAGTATATCATAATATTTCAAAATGCTGTTGTAGTTAAAACCATAGTACTGATTGATAAAGCAGCGACTACTTCACTGTTGCACTGGTTGGAAAAACCAGTTGTCTCGCTGGGATTATAAAGATAATCAGTTTTTAATAACATTCTATTTTTTATCCCTAAAATACCCATAGGACCGTAGCACAGTAGCACTGCACAGATGGCGTAGTGTTTTACGCGGTCACCTCGCCACTTTCTTACGTTAAAGAAAACTCCCGCACTAGGAATAAGATTATATTCCTAGTGCGGGAGTTTTCTTTTATTATGTACTGTAATGTAACGCGTAACGTTAATAGGACTTATGTAGTTTAAATTATCAGAGTTTTAAGGTAAGATATAAATAGTTTAAATAACAGGCATTGGAAAGTAATACTTGTTCAGTATGCCAATCTTTATAGTTTGTCAACTAAAAAATTGTTGGCACTCTTCCCAAAGTACGTGAGCGATGAATATTCTGCGTCGTGTTACACAACGCTAGCGACACCCAAGCTAAGCTGAGCTTATACATACAGTAGAATTCCGATTATCCGAACATCCGATTATCCGGACTCATTCGTCTCGGCTCTAATTATCAATTTAAAAATTTTTTGACGGCGCAACGAGACATGTTACGACAAGTTTATTCCCGCCTCCGACGGTGTACTCCCGCTCTCATTTGTTTGCGCGATAGTGTTTGTTATTGTTTCATATTCTTTGATAGCGTTTAACTGAAAGGCCGTCTTTTATTTTTGTTTACGTTTTGTGTTGGAAATTTAAAATGTCCAAGCGAAAAAGAGTAGTGTCGTCTCTTAAAGACAAAATGAAAATAATTGAGAGTATAAAAAATGGTGAATTTGGCAGTAAGTTGGCACAAATATATGGTGTCGGAACTTCTACGATATCAGACATTAAAAAGAATTCTGATTCCATAATGAAATTCACCTGCGCGCTTGAGCTCGCAACGTAAAGTCATGAAAAAAATTCAAAATGAAATTCTGGAGAATGCAGTTTTTACTTGGTTCTTACAAAGGAGAGCATGCGGCCAGCCCATATCTGGACCTCTGTTATGTGAAAAATCATTTTCGATTATACGGAATACCCCTGGTTTTATTTGATCCGGATAATCGGGATTCTACTGTACAAATTTTTAGGTATCTGTTATATAAATACATATAACACTTAAACACCTAGACCAATGCAAACGAACATATTCATCAATATTTACACTGAGTGAGATTAATTCTCAACATCTGCGGCGATTTATTACCCGGTTAGAGCATCGATTGTGTATTCATTACACTATCGACGCTCTAACCGGGTCTTCTGAGTCTTATTTTAGTTATTAAATAGATTGGGTCCCTGAGGACGACCATGGTAGCTTGTAGAGTATTTATTTAGAATGGCCTTTGGTTCATATAACTTAGTTCTCTTCATTTATAATATTTACACTTATTGTACTAATGGTTAAATATATATATAATTATATTACACATTTATGAAACAATGTCTGACATAAATAATTATTATTGTTCTCTTTATTTCATTAAATATACGTATAAGTTATATTTTCCAAAAAGTCCCATCGGTATCGGGTACAGGGATCGAGATACCGGTGGTTAGGACTTCAGAGACAGAAACCTCCTTACAATACGTCCTTAGATATTATTGCTCACAGCTGCTTAGATATTATTGCTATACATTATAATAAATAAATTCGTGTTTACACAATCTGAACGCAAAGCAAAATGTGCTCTGAATATTTTTTACACTTATACCCTGCAGTATATAAATTCAAATATAGCCAAACGTGGATATCATCAAACATTGCCTTTTTAGCGATACGATCAGTATTAGCTGGCTATATGATAAAATAAACCTCCTTTCTAAGGAGAGGCCTATGTTCAGCAGTGGACTATTACAGGCTGTTGATGATGTGTGATGTGATATTATAAAATATAAATATTTTATAAAATTATGAGATACATTTATAGAGTGGTCAATTCCAAGATCTTACAGCGACTTAAATGTACTCGTACATGTGCATGTATATTACCTTATTTTTATGTTATATTTGACAGAAGTTATGTTATATTTGACTACTCGCTTTCGTAACTGTTCCAGGTACAAGCCTTATACCAACACTCGTCCCTGGGCACACATATTCAATTATCTCTAGTGCGTCTGACGCTACTGCGGGCACAGCCGGCGACTTTATCAGCACATGCTGAACGAGGACGCCTTCTCGATTCCTTCTGCGCCTATCAACGCTCACTCAACGTAGAAGATGACGATGACCCTCAACATTGGGACATGGCTCTGCTGCTCTCTGGGTAACTACAGAAAAACACTGTTAACCGCTGTGGTCGATTTTAAATGAATTTTGTAGAACAAACTAGGTACTTTTAGTGGAGTAAAATAGTTGCGACGCAAGTCAATTAATATTGGTGGGTACCTACTTAAATATTTATCTATAGTTGTTAATGGTTTTATTTGTGCAAATCGTAAATAGGTACATATAAGACAAAAATTGAAAGAAGCTTTAAAATTGATTAAGAATTGCCTATTTATAATATTTTAATTAGAACATAATGTGTCTAGTTTTCTATAAGTGCTTATCCAGAAATCAATTGCAATTGGCTAGTCTCGCTAAAACTCAAATAGAGTTTGTCACGATTGAGTTATTTGTTTGTATAGTTCGGTGTATACTGTGTAATACAGGGACAGATTAAAAAAATACAAAGTCTAAAAATTAAATAATTGTTTATATTATAATTACTTTAAGCATATACTTTACCACTTCACTTAAATTTAATACTTACTTTAATTCTTTAAGAGCCACTGTTAGTCTGCTCAAATTGCATAGGCTTGATTATATAAAGGGAAATATACGAATGTATTGTTGGAGTACGTAAGCTTCAGCACTTTGACTGTGCCGTCGGTTCTTAGTCATCACATTTATACTATGGCCTTACGCTCTGGGACAGATAATTTGACAAATAAAATATAACAAACAAAACATCCAATATATGCTAAAATCATAAAACATGAGGTACACATTAATAGTACACACAACATGAATAATCGATACTAAATTAACAAGCTAGCCAAGTGGTTAATTGCAGTTTATGTTTTGTGATTTTGAATAATTTTGAAATAAACAACTAGTAGATGACTGGATGAGAATGACCATAATTATGGAAGTAGTGTTAGTAGTTTTAATGAATTGTTATGTTAATGAAATTGAGTGTCCTAATAAAACAGTTTAAATACACAGCACTTGACTGCACGGATGGCGTAGTGGTTCAAGGGGCCGCCACGCCGCTACCTACAACGCCGAGTGTTGTGGGTTCAAACCCCTCATGGGACGACACTTTGTGTGATCCACAAATTGTTGTTCTGAGTCTGGGTGTTCTTTGTGTCCGTTTCATGTATTTCTGTAAAGTCCCCCGCGACACAGGATATATGTCTTTAAAAAAAACGAAACAAACAGCGACACACAGAATTTTGAATCAGAAAGTAAATTGATTAGTAACCAGTACAAAGTGCCAGCGATCAGGAGTCGTCTAATTTTCTTAGAAAACCACCTCTACAGTAACACTCTTTTAAATTAAACTGCAATTTAGTACTTTAAATGATTTCTAATGAATAAGTAGTATTTTTGAATAATCTGCCCGAAACTGTTTTAAGTTTCTTAGAAATATTAGTCATTCTATATTTATAGGAATGAAAGTTTATTTTCGTCAGGTACCTTCTGAAACCAAATGTTTGAAAAAATAACAGATTCAAAAAAGGAAATTAACAAGTTCGTTTTGCAGTTAAAATGATTTAAAAAAAATCTTTGTACTTACATTTGGGTGAGTAAGTTTGTAAACAAATACGTGCGCTCACGACATACATGCATGCATCAGTGAATATGTGCAAACTAAATTTCCTCACTGTTTGTCATTTAAATACAAAGTTCAATAACACTAAGATGAATATTCTTAAGACAAATTTAACATATTGTTTACATAACATATTGACGACTGGATGGCGTAGTGGTTTGTGTAACGGACTGCTATTCCAAAGGTCGCAGGTTCGATTCCCGCTCAAGTCAAACATTTGTGTGCATGAACATTTGATGTTTGATTTGGTCTGGGTGTTTCTATGTATAATATTGATGTATTTACAAAAAAAAAGTATATATGTATTTATATCAGTTGTCTAGTACCCATAGTACAAGCTCCGCTTAGTTTGGGACTAGATGGCGTTGTGTGTATGTGGTAGAATATATTATATTATATTATTATATATTGTATTTTATTTCAGTAAATTTTTCTTTAAAATATGAAACCTAAAATGAAGTATCTACTCCTAAATGATAAAAGAATTTTCCAAACAGGTTCATTAATGACGGCGTTGTGTCTTTTTTTTTAATGACTGATGTTATTATGTTTATAATTATTTTTAAAAAACCATTTATTTTTTATTTTACAACCCACGGCAACATTCAATGATCTGGTTTTATTTAGTTTTTCTAAATAAATAAAGTTTCTCAATCTGTTTTGATAACAATTTAAAAGAAATGAAATTTATCAAATTCCAGGTTAGACTTCTACTCAGAAGAGGGTGGGCATCGCAATGGAGTGACAATGGGCTTGGCGCCTGTTGGCGGCGTGTGCCTACCCGCGCACGCCTGTGTGGTCTCGGAGTTCGGCACCTCCGACCTGCTGGGCAGGCCGTATCCCTCCGCCGGGTTTACCTCCGTCTATATCCTCGCGCATGAGATTGGACACAAGTCGGTTATGAGGCCTCCTATTTATATTATATTTAAAAGTTTATTTTAAAAAATTAGCTTAAAAATAGTTTTGCAATATATCTTTAATAAACACTGTGCATTCTAGACATTTCTTAACTTTCAAATTACATAAATTAGAAAGAATATTTGTTATAAAAAAGTCGGTAATGTCTAATATTTTTGCCTAAGTTTGAATTGTTTATGTAGTTTGTTGGTTTTATGAGAATGTACAATTGTACAGTTATTTTTCGTAGCTGTCGATCCATGTTTAGGTTGAATGTATGCGGGCTTTTACAGTTAATTCAACTAAACATTTATTGTTATCTATGGTAGATAATAAAAATTATAGTATGTATTGAAATGTTAAGCTTATTGGTGTGATGTAATGAGTTTATCACTTCGTCACTAGAAAATTTGTAAATGTAATAATTGTGTAAATGTTATAATCAATGTTTGTTTCTTAGTATTGTATGTTCAGTTGTGTGACTAGGGCAATATTCGCGAACGGAGGAATATGAAATTTGACACTTAAATTTTTTGACATTTTTAAAGTTTATATATTTAAGAAATTCAGAAGATCAAAACATTTATATGTAGTTAGATATAATTATTATCGAATTTCTTTAAAAAAAAATCTGTCTTCAGTATCTGTCATGGTAAGGTAAATCAATACAATGACAATAATGGTGGAAATTCAACCATCAGTTCTCTAGAGATCTCTTGTGACGACGGAAATGTAATGCCTAGTTTACATGCGTGCCGAAGCTTGGCATAAATCCACAAGCTCTAAGTCTTTACAAACACTTAGATGAATTTTAGACGTTTGCGAGTGTGTTATTGTGTTCCGGACAGACAAGCACAGCAGACGTGGACATATTTTTATTCAAAATATAAACGGCGCCACTAAATAAAAAAATCCTCTAGCCCTACTGCTTAACTAAACTGCTCAACCAGTAGAGCATTGGGACTTAAGACTGAGCAGTGGGTAACAAGCAAGCGCCAACATGAATATGTCGAAAATGCTCGCCGCAAGCTTCCTTTGATCTGTGTTGGAAAACCGACACTAGTCCCGTACGACGACAAGCTCACGCAAGCTGAGCCAAACACGCCGCTTACACGCCGCTTGTTGAGGCTTGGCAAGTTTGCATAAGATTTCCTAGTTGCAATCTGTGACAGATTGCAACTAGGAAATCCACGTAATATAATATATTACTTCGATTATAACGAAATCCTTGTCGGTACTAAATTAACGTCTGATTAATGGCCAAATGTTTATTACGGGAAAAGATTAAGTTCTAATACACCATCGACAGTTTATTCAAATAAGTCAATGCTAGTCCAAGTTTGGATGATGTTGAAAACTGAGAGCCAGTAAAATATTAATGTTCCAGCCTGGGCATGCATCATGACGGAACCGGCAACAGCTGTGCCCGTGATGGTTACATAATGTCGCCCTCAAGAGGCACCAACGGCGAGGCATCCTGGTCTACCTGCAGTGCGCGAGTCGCAGCCGAGCTACGGTATAGTTACTATTTATTCAATATTTTTTTACATTTCTTAGTAACAGATGTGCTCCTTACTTCAGCAACTAATTTAAATAAATGACAATAAGGCACATGGTCATTTTTATGGATCATGCTTACGCGCTCCTTGAAGAATACTGTTCGCTAATAACTTTATACATATAAACTGATTTTTTCTTGTCACTATCAGAGTAAACACCTCCAGATTAATGTTTTAGAGAAAACCTTCATGTGTATTAAGAACCATATGAAAATAATAATACATATTCATATATTTTACACTCTATTGGTTACGTCTATTTTTAAAAATAAACTTAAAAATAGACTTTTTCGAGCTTTCTTAAGGATCCTAATATCTTTGTATCATTATGAACTTATTGAAATGTTATTGTACTATTATGATGTACAATTTATTGATGCAATACACGATAGCATTTAATGTTTATTTTTTAAATACTGCAGTCATCTCAAAAGGTGAATGCTATGCTGTTAGGTAAGAACGTGCAGTCTGCACGTATGGCGTAGTGGTTTAAGCGGTCACAACGCCGCTTCCTACTACGCCGAGTGTTGTGGGTTCAAATCCCACATGGGACGACACTTTGTGTGATCCACAAATTGTTGTTCTGAGTCTGGGTGTTCTTTATGTCCGTTTCATGTATGTTTGTAAAGTCTCTCGCGACACAGGATACATTCCTAATGCGGGAGTTTTTTTTTAAATTAAAAAAATATATATTTATAGTTAGTTTTATAGCTAAGTTATAGCAATTCTAATTTGTATTGGCTTGTACTTGTATATTTTTGTAGATGGGCAACTTGCTTGTTGGATGGTGCCGAAGAAGATGATCAAGATATTCCCAGTGAATTGCAGCATGAAAGGTTTGGCGGGGCACCCGGCGCTGTTTGGAGCGCTAAGAAACAATGCGAGGTAAATTTAATTCCAACTTTGAATGAAAATTTGAATTGTATTTAAATATAAAATAGAAGGAATGATAAAACCTATTGTTTGTCATTCCTAATTGAAATGAACAATAAATAAGAACTATCAAATGATCTTTTTCAATTGCGAAGGATAATTTTATTTCAATCTACATAAGATCAAACACTGTCTTGCACCAGATTTAAACAAATAGCACACCGTGTGGATTAAGACGGTTTAATTCCGGCACGAAGCCCAATCGGAAACACTAGTTGTGCTAACGGTCCTGAAAATGTCCACAGGTACAAATATATATAGGAATGTAGAAGTGGTATAGGGAATAATTATAGTCTCGTAGACTCGTATGGTTTACGAATGATTAAAAAGAATGGTCTACTTGTGTTATGTACGTAACAAGGACTCTATCCCCCAAGCTTACTCATCTGGTCTCAGGTTCTACTGAGGGACAAGGATGCAGTGGCAACACCGGCAGGTGCGGTACCCGAGCATTGCTCCCAACTTGCTTGTCGTACGCCACATCGCGCTGGATTTTACTACGCCGGACCCGCGCTGCCTGGAACATCTTGCGGACACCACATGGTTAGATAATATTAACTCAATTTTAAAACTGTATTTGTATTTAATCCATAAACCGCTTCTGGGACTACAAAAGTGGCATATAAGGTGGGTAAGAAGGTCGATGGTGGCATGCAAGCCGTCGCTCTTACTTCGCCATTACAGTAGTCCAGGATGCAGTAGCCTTTTAGTAAAATGAAGCTATTAGTAACTTCGTTTTTGAAAAGAGATGGAACGCTGAACATCATACCGGGCATCTGAAACTAAGATAATATGGTAGTTTTTTTAATTCTATAATAATACAAATTGACGTTAATTACTTCAGTGGTGTCAAGGAGGCGAGTGTATACCGACGGTCAACCTGCCAACAAGCAGTCCAGCAGCAAAACCTGGGAGCAGTGGCAGTGTAAATAGTGCCGATAACGAAATTGGTGACGGTAATCAAGGTGAAGGAACAAGTGCCTGGGGGCCGTGGCGCGAAACTAGCTGTCGATCAGGATGCACGGATCGTGGCCGTGGTTTTCGAGAGAGACGACGTAACTGTACGGCTCAAAACAAAGTCTGCCAAGGAACTGGATATGATGTGGTGCTCTGTGATGATACTAAGGTTTTTTTAATAAATATAATTTACTACAGTGTCTTAGTAGAATAATGTTAGAGCTTATAAGTATGTACTTAAAGGGTGTTTACTAAATTATGTACAGTGAAGAGTGAACGCTAAATTTAAAATAATTTGTTTTGCACCAGACTGTTTTTTAGAAGATACTGATGATGATTTAAATATTAAAGGTTTGTTAGCGACCAACCAACCACAATTTCGTTTTGGGATTTCAATGTTTTATATATTAATATTTTGTAGGTGTGTAATAAGAAAAGCCGTGTGAATGCTAACGAGATGGCTTCGAGGAAATGTGCGGAGTATGCATCATTGTTGCCTGAACTAGATGCCCGTGGAGGCGGATTGCAGGCACCACACGACCCTAGTAAGTAACTTATTTATTTGCTTTGTATGTTTTCTGACATAATACATATATATTTGAGCATTTTCGACGTTTCACAGTCTTGTCATATAAAGTCGTTCTTTGTAATTTCATTTTATCAGTATCTTAACAGTACCTTGTTTGTTGATAAATAGTAGTCTGACCTGATTCTCCATGTTGATCCGTGTTATTCTCTCGATACTCGTTGCTGTAAAGGCCTTTTATTCATTTCTTGATAGCCATTCGTTGCGTATATGAGTTTGCGTGCTTGTGAAATTGTTGCAGGCGCAGAGCTTCACTCCTTGCTTTTTTATTTTTTCTTCTTCAGATATGATGAAAAGGTTCATGTCAATGATATTTACTTTACCATCATCATCAAAGTAATGGAAAAGCAATTGCCAAACAAAGGTTTTCACATTAATATTTCGCTATATATTTCGATAATTTGCTTTTCAAAATAGTTTAAGGACGTAACTTTGTTGCAGACAACTTCAATTTCACATAAATTTGTAAGTTGATTGGATCCTAATACGAGAAGTTTTTCTGTAATTATTACACTTTACCATTTGCGGTGGAGGCTACAAATAACGACAAGATTTATCGCTACTCTGATCTTATAATAAGAGGGTTGTTTTTGGAATGAAGTTCCTTATCGCGCGTTGTGAAAGGGGGCTAGACGTAAAAAAATCTCACGAAACGTTGTAACGACACTTTTTATTTTGAATTGTCACTTGTCAGTCATTCAGCGCCATCTATAAATGTATAAATTGTTTTAATTAGAAACCAACTGAAAAATATGTAGGTAATAGCCGCTTTCTTAGATGGCGTTGTAATTAAAATCGTGTCGAATCAGTTTTACTCGATCGTCACAACTTCGTTCCTATCGGGTGTCCCGCGACACCACACGGCTTTTTTTTATGTCAGAGGGGGCAGACGAGTAGACGGGTCACCTGATGGAAAGTGACCATCGCCGCCCATCAACGTCTGCAACTCAGGAATCACAAACGCGTTGCCGGCCTTGTAGGAAGGACTACGCTCTTTTCTTGGTTTCTTTTCGTGGAAACCAAGGTTTGAAGGCCGTATCGGTCCGGGAATACCGCAGTATTGGTTGTGAGGGGCAAAAAGTGTCTCGAAAAGCGCACAGTAGTGGAGAGCTAGCTACCCAGGTGATGAGGATGAAAATTTTGCCGTGTGGAACGATAGCGGAAAGTTGCAGCTGGTATTAGTCCCAACAATTCCTCGGAGCACTCTCCATGATATATGCGATAGAGAATACAGTTCTAAATTAGTTCTACACAGGCTACAGAGGTTTGGTGAATTTTATTGAATCAGAATTAATTTAATTGAGCTTTTTCATAAAATTCAGTTATTACCACTGTGGTTTCAAGTACATTGAATATTTTATATGGCGAGAGATTGATGAAATCTGAAATTAATTCAATTTCTGTAATTGCCTGGCCAGCGTGGTATAGTAGGCCAAAACCTTCTTTCTAAGGAGAGGCCTATGTCCAGCAGTGGACTATTAAAGGCTGTTGATGTGATGTGTGATGTGTGATGAAATCTGAATTTGATGAGCTTCGAATAGGAATAAGCACTTGTAAGTTTGATGTGATTTCTTAGTTAGGTAAAGCCTAATAAACGTATTTGGTGAAACTGACTATTAAATAGTGGTAGTTTTTGTTTGTTTTAAAAAGACAACTCCGGCACTAAGGATATATCGTGTGTAAAGGGCGTGGCGACCGCTTATACGAGTACAACTACGCCATCCGTGCGGTCGAGTTAATACGAAAGTAGCTGTAAATATTGCACTACCGAAGAATTTCCGTAACTGCAAAAACTCTCAATGTCCATTGTTCATTCTGAAACTTGGTATTTTACTATTTATCATTACTAATAAATACGTGAATTTTTAACAGCTCGTATGTGGATGGGTTGCGCGGTATTCTGTCGGCGCGCGTCAGGCGGAGGTTTCTACGCACCGCGGGTGGAGCTAAACGATGCTAGAAAGGATCCTTACTTTCCTGATGGGACTTGGTGTCATAACGACGGTGAACAAGACTACTATTGCTTGCAACACCATTGCTTACCAGAGGCAAGTTATTTTATGTTACTACTACTATCGTCGACCGATTTCGGCCACGGCGACCTCTTCAACTCCGTTCAATAGCCGATCGTATTATCTTACTTATCTTTTATGTTATTTGTAGTTTCAATCAAAACCTTACCTACGTTTTTCATTTTACCGTTTTTCTCTTGTTATTATATGTTATACTAGATTCTAAATACATACATGTACATACACATACATTTACATACATACGTAATAATATAAATTGAGGATATCTTAACAGTCAGTCATCATCAGCACCATCTTAGTCTCGATTTGTTATTTATAAAACACTAGCTGTACCCTGCCACGCTTCGCTGTGGCACATTGTGGTTAGATGGAAGAGAAATCAGGAACAAAACTGATGCGAAAAATATCTAATTCCACCCTGTATGGTGAACGAAATTAAAAAAAAACTTCAAAAACATTCTAACAACACCATTCAGTCAAACCTAGAGTATCCGGTGTCAAAACTTTGGTATAATTATTTAGGTATTAAACCTCTTTGTATATGAACAGTGTGTACTTATAAACATCGCAGTGCGACCAACATTATTCTTCGATCTGATTTTTTTTAAATACAAAAAATAAAATTTTATTCATTTGTATGCTAAATCAAGGCCTTTTTTTTTGATGAACTGCTATTCGTTAGTCTTAATAAAACTTGGGAATGGCTGGCCCGATTTGGCTAATTTTGGATATATTATTTATAATATTCTTGAAATATTAGTGAAAGTCCAGAGAAAGTTGAAACGATAAGAAAATCTTAAAAAATGCGAGAAAAATAGTAAAAATAACGATTTTATGCCGTTGTTGGTACAAGATCTCTTCAAATGAAAGAACGTTGTTTAATAAGGGTTTCGAATCGACAACATATCTACACAGTATTCGAATTATTGTGTATTTATATTTAAAAATCCTGACACGTGCGAGTCGGACTCGCCCACCGAGGGTTCCGGACATATTTGTAGGTACATATTATAAATAGTTCAGGAATCGAATCTCGCAGTTTTTTCCAAGCTTCGCCCGATATTTAGTTTCCAAAACCAATAATTACTTATTTCTTTAATTAATTAATCAAATGATTTTTCGTTTAACGTACTTTAAATAAATACAAAAAAAAATATGATTTAATTACAAATGTATAGTTTTCAGATTTTTCCCTGTACTTCTAGTAGAAGACGATGTCACTTGCTAAATTTCATAGTTCTAGGTTAACGGGAAGTACCCTATTAATTTTGATTCCCTTGAGTGTTGAAATGCGCGTTTTTGCGACATAAACGGCCGTATCTTATTTTTACGTTATCTTAGAAGTTTGATTTTTGTACAATTTCAAGGGACTGTAGACTTATAAGGGTTCCGTTTTTTCCTTTTGAGGTACGGAACCCTAAAACTGTAAATAAATATTGTCACTATGAGAAAGGATCGACATATTTATTGGTTGTCAAATATTTATAGGTTGCGTTGAGAAAATTATTTTGTGACTAAACTTATAAAAAGATGCCAAGCTACATAAAAAAAAACAGAATTCAGTTTCCGTAATCTATAGATTCCGTAAACTATGACTTACTAATAATATATATATCCTACTAATATTATAAAGTTTGTTTATTTGTTTGGTTGAAAAAATATTTTAGTGTGGGTTAGCCCATTCATTGAAGAAGTCTTAGGCTATATAACATCACGCTATGACCAATAGGAGTCAAGCTGCAATGAAAAATGCAACGAGAGATGTAGACGAAGTTGCGCGGGTCAGATAGTGTTTTATAATAAAGGCAACAATCTTAGATCAACAGCAACTGGAATACTTGGAATAAGGAACCCACGTACGTACATAATTGCTATAAATTACGACTTCAACCATTTGATAACACAGTTATTTATTGTGGACACTAATGGAATAACGAATATATAAGGCACAAGCAGGCTATAGTATATGACTGAAAAAATAATATTATTATTATTTTGATACTGAAATTTCATTTATCTTATAGAATAATAATGGCAATAAATATGTGTAAACCCTCCTCACTGTTACTATTAATCGTCGATATGCCGAATGCTTTTTGCCATTTGGTTAGACATTGTAAATTAATTATTAGAAAATAATCTTACAAGGATAAAAAATCTCAGTGGTATAAGATATTTTGCGTGTTTAATAGCACTTAGTCAATACACGTTTGAACAAAATGCAAATCAATTACAAAACGTACCTTGAGCAAGTTACGGAAACCGTACAGACTTAATTGATATGGGTTACAATTTTATTTGCTATTAAATGTACACAGAGAGTGCTACAGAAACGCGAGTTCACATTTTATGATTGTTGTGAGTAGCCGAGAATTAGATATTTTATGAATTCTTTACTCAAAATATATGTAGCTCAAAATATTATTTTTTTAATTGTAAATATTGAGTTGTTGAAAAATGACAATCACAATATACCTTTATACTTATTTTTTCATGAATTGAGTTCGTTATTTCTTTGAGCTTCCTAATTTCAGGCTCTAAACAACACTACAATAATATTACACTCATGTATTATTATTGAAAATAAAAACCGCACACAATTAGGCAAAAATTTTATCGACCAGAGAGTTCAGAATACTCTTCCCCTTTAATAATTCTTTATATTTGTAATGTCTTGATGATATTACAGGGCGTTGTATTGTTATCGGGGCAAACTTGTTTACGCCTTGTCCTGCATGCAAAATGCTTCTTTATATTAATTGTTGTACTCTTTTGTTCTGCTGTGTGGCTAACGTGTGAATGGTGTTTGTATTGCAAGTATCCATCTACAAGCTACGTTAGGCGATCACTACGAGACGAATTATACGCAATATCTTTACGTGAAACAATCAAATTAAGTTACTACAACCGCAAAAGTGTACAATCTGTAAATTATGAGCATTTGTCGCTACTAGAAAATATCTCTATCGAATGCATCAATATAGTCCAACAAGCCATACTAAGCTAAATGTCTATTTGCATTAATGCACCTAGTGTGATAGGTTACGCTGAGCAGGATGTCAATTTCTCTTTAATACTTTTTTTGTGAAATTCTATATCGTCTGATTAGTCTCTAGTATTGGTTGCCCAGTTTTATTCGTCTACAATATGTGAGTATAGGATCAACTTCATATTGGAACGAAGTTCCTTATCGCGCATTACACGCTCTGAGCTGATGGAAGCGAGTCCGAAAAATGTGTAACAAGACTTTTTTGCTATAGTTACAGCTGTGTATGAACTGCATACATCGCCGCACACAGCTCTCCCTAATTATCCTTAATTATCTCTCTAATTATCCCAGATCATTCAGTTTTTAATTTATCATTATTTTAATTTTATACGTAATAAATATATTCAATCTTTTTTTTCAATTTAACTGTTTTAAATTGATATTTTATAAAAAAAAAAATAATGTTGACTATATATAACTTGTCGAGTAGCCTAAAGGGTCTACGCCCTGTGCTTAGGCACCAGCGCTGGCACTCCTCTAGTTTTGATTAGTCCATATTATCATATTATGTCGAATGCCAAAGTTACGAATTACTTTTTAAGTCCAAAAGTCAATATTCAAATTAAAATTCACCATGTTGTGTTTAACAGGAGTTATTTGTGCAGTTTATCATTGTAGTCTTTACAATTGAGTATCAACACCGCACTTTAAACGTCTTGGGCTGTTATCAGACTACTATGTCATGTGTTATAAGGTATCTACTAATTGCCCCTTTAAACGTTCTGTTAGCTGCCCATAAATGCGGTTGTACTGAAACGTTTTGTTACCTTTATAGTGCATTGTGTTGATATGAGTAGATTGTATTTCTTACATACTCATATAATCTTACAGTTTGTCAACATTGCTGTGTCATGCAATCACGTGCTTTGTTCTTCTACACTAATGTTTATTTTGTTTAAACTCATGGTATTTCAGTCTGGAAATCTTTTGCCGAATCTATTCACGTTCATTCAATTAAAATTCATGCAATTTGCAATGTTCAGTTGTCATCAGTTGCAAAGTCATAATATATTTATGTTCAAAAGATTCTATCATTGTGTTTATTTAAGACATACGGCTTCACCTTGGCAAAAAACTGTGTAAAATCCTAACCCTAAATGTTAGAAAAACTGGTATGTAATTCTATCCCCTCTTATAATGATCTATTAGTAAAAATTAAACTTTAATGGCAAAAAATAATTAAAAAATCAACAAAAAGTTATCCTGGCATCATCGCTACCTGGCCCTATTTGTTATAACTATGGTCAAAACAACCAAAATAAGCAGAGCTCGATGTATGTATGTACTGGGAGCTCATGGGGAGTTACCTTACCTTTATCAGCTCCAGGCTCTATCATCAAATAAGCTGTAAGATGCCAAATTATAATAATGTAAATATATAAACTACACATATGTACTTAGACTAGACTGGACACTTAGAGATTAAAATTAACTTCCAACATTTTTACATGGTTAGTTTGGCAGTTAAAGCCATGTCGTAGTGGCATTTAATCACAGGTCACGACCCTGGCCTGCCTTCAAAGTACTGTAGTTTCAGTCAGTTTTCTTACCCCAATTAACTTTCTTTCTTTTGTGAAAACGAAAACGATTACATATCTGTAGTGGTTTAGGAGACTAATCGTTTTCAAGTCAATGTTACAAATCGAACCGCATTCTGCAATTAGAGCTTAAACTTGGCAAGTTTAAAGTAAAATACCTTTCATTCAAACGTAAATTTGGGCCTTGGTGAAATGATTGGCCAGATGGACTAGGAATAGATTATATATATTTTTAACAAAACAATAACCAAGTATTAAATTATTGTTTACAATAGCAGTTAACTATTTAGTATAACGTGCTTGTTAACTAAAAATATAAGTGTAATCGCTTTCAGATAAGTTTATCACTATTAAACACTAATTACGTACAGTCGTAAACAAAATTGTAGACATCGGCAACAATACCAACACTATTAATAAGATAAAAACAAATGGTTAACACAAGTATCGCCTATTGTTATACAGACCTAATTTTTTGTTTCCAATGATCAATAATATTTTAC